TAATTCATGAAAAATATATAGTTTACATTCAGTGTTTCATTTGTAATAGGGCTGTCTTCACACAATTCCACCACCTGAGATCCACAATTACTACAAGAGACACAGCACTGTAGCATCTTCAAAATAGTAGAGCTTGGACCCAGAGACAGATATCACAGATGTCACAACTTAAGAACCAAATGGCCACATTTCCTCTTGACCTATCAGTAAAGTTAGCCACTATCGTTAATTTGTTTGGCTACACCCAAGCAAAGCCATCCTGAGTGGAAAACCACACCAAAGCATCTGAGAAGCAGCGAGTGGAAGAGTTTTATAGTGTAAATGGCAAAGTAATAAACAAAGCTCAAACTGTTTGTTGTAATTTGAATTGTATTAAAATTAATTTGTGTGTGTCTGACAAGCCATAATATGTCATGAATGTTTTTATTGCTCTGAAATCTGGATAATATACATCTACTTTCTGTCTCCCTCTTCTCTTTTCACTGACGCACACAATATTATAAATAACTGAAACTAGAAACTATCCACCGTAAGGTAAAAAAAACAAGGCAGAAAGTGGACTAACGACTAATCCACTGAAGGAGATGTTGATCACCATAATGCAGCTGAGAGCGCTAAGCCAAGATACAGCCCACTTATTCTCAATATGGAGAAGCTTCACTCCATCAATATGGCGGTTGGCATGGTGGTGGAGAGTGTGAAAGTGCTGGCATCAAAAAAGTGAGGCACACAGCAAGACAGAACAGATAGAGAATAGATAATTAGGTTTCATGACATCAAGTTCTCCTTCAGAGTAGCAACCACAAGGCGCTGCACTGTACGCCATGAATCAAAATTGAGACACACATAGCGAGCGATTAGCCCCCTGCTGGTGGAGTGGACCACCGTCACACAGAAACACTGAGAATAGCCACACTGGGCAAATTAGACTGAGAAGTTGAAGATTCATTGCAGAGGCATGCTCCAAAAAGTAAATAAACAAATGCCAAAACAACCACAGGGCACTGGAAACCTCCAAGGTCTTTTTCTTATCATACTTATGTTATTAGATCCTTGCAAAGAATTTTTGATGTTTTTTATTGGTTTGTTTTTACTAATCCATCATCCTATTTTGAACAATTCCATGAAAATGTACCAACCAATAAAATGTCAAGTTTAGTTCGTTGTGTGTGTATTGGCTATAAGACTTTGAGTGAGAGTTCCATACAGGCAGTTACTTTAACAGGGTTAATGCGCTTCTGGCTTCCATGGCTTACACCGTCATAACATTGGTTTGCTTAAAGGAAAGAAATGGCACCTTAACGGAGCACGAATCCAGCAGATCTATGGTCAACATGGAGCAGCAAAATCTAGGATCTCAATGAAGTATTCTTCACTGTTGCTATCAATGATAAAAACAAAATTTTCTCCACCCTGTTTATTTTTCCCCCTGAATTTTATGGGAACCGTACCAACAAGCAAAAGTTACCAGCAGTAAGGCGAGGGAGGTCGATTCATCATCACTACACCTGATATTCTATTGGTTGGGGAATTTTGATAGATTTGTTGCGCAAAATGCCAAGCGCAGAAGAGAAAAGTCCGAGAGCAGACGTTTCATGTGCAAAAAGGCAGAATGAGGGTGAGGAGAGGAGCTGGACTGCAAATGCTCTGTATTTATAGAGCGCTTTTCTAGTCTTGATGACCACTTAAAGTGGTTGTTTACACAGGTTATTGCCATTCATACAGTGGATCTATGGGCAACACTGTTTTCTATGAGGGGCAATTCAAGGTATTTGAGTGCCATTGCAGGGTTTTGAGTGAAAGCAGTAGACAATCTGAACAAGAAATTGACAAGTCCTGCTCTCAAACTGAAAGACCACACTCTTGATTAAAGATAGAGAAAACCTCCAAATTTCATGTGCCTTGAGTAAGCCTTGTGAAGCCTCATTCAGATTACTGTTAAACAAGCTGGCTCCCAACACTTCTTTAGTCGTTGAGCGAAAGCCACACTTACCTCCTTGTGCACACATCAATGTCGCTATTAATTATGTTAGCAAACATCTATGCAAACCTTGACGTCAATGCATGTCAAAACATGTTTCAGAACAATTCTTGTCTGGTTTTGGGTTTGTCCTAAGGAGTCTGATGTTGGACAAAAAGAACAGTCTGCCAAGCAGCAGCCCCCTCTGACATTCCACTCTCCTGCTGTGTTATATTGATATTGTCTTCTTTTTTTATTTGGTTGCATCTCAGATTGTGTTTGTGCCAGCTTGCAGCCTGTCTGGAGGCATCAGTGCAGTGTGCAAATGGTGGTGGGGCCGTCTTGGCCGCGGTGGCGTGACTAAGCTGGGTTCAGGGCCCTCAGGGTTTCAGAGTTTGCTGAGTGGTGACACATGTGTTGTGACAGGGCAACTGCACGGAGCTGCATTATGGTCTATCTGTGGATGGCTTGTTGTAGCTGTGAGGGTTAACGGGTCGACGCGGTGTGGGTACGCTAGTGCCAAGCTCCCAGAGGTGGATGCAGCACATTAAAAACTGACATGGGCATCAGCATGGGCTTATTAAAAAGACATTGTGATATTACAGTAACCTTGAATAATCTCTTTTAGCATTTTTAAAGCTTGATTCTAATGATTGGAGTTTATATTGTGATGCTTTTTGACCAGAGAACTGAGGTTGTACAAATTGCATTACACTCGTCTAAATAAATCAACATTCCTGTGCAGATCTCAGTATATTACAGACACATTTAAGAATAGTAGTGAGAGGATGGCTAGAGNTAAAAAAAAAAAAAAAAAATATATATATATTCTCTTGCAGGATGGATCTTCAGGTGTTAACACAGATTTTTCAGTGTAGGTGAAGTCATAAGGCCTTTGCTATAAATAAAGGTCATGTCACACCTTCCTCTATTTTTACACTTGTGCACAAACAAATGTGTGCGCTCCTTCCCTCTCAAGTTGTCCACCTTAGTTGTGAGTCTTTCTGGAGCACAAAGGCGTATTTCATGGTAGGGAAGCTGTGCCTTAGGGGAAGAAAGAAGTCTGGGGCTACACCCTGCAGTCCCCTCTCTCTCTCACACACACACACACGCGCGCACTCACACACACAAAAGCAGCTCAACTTGTCTTGGCTGAAACCTTTTACACAAAACAGAGCAGCAAGGGAGAGAGCGAGGGACAAAGGGAATGAGATGTGAAGCCAGCCAGCTATCATCACCACTGACTGTACTGCAATATGCATTATCCTCCGCACTTCCAAACATCCCCTGCACCTGCTTTATTCTGCCTTTTTGGCAACTGACAAACCATTAGAGGTGTGCATGTCTATGAGTAACACACTTCATGTGCTGCTAATTTTATGCCTGGCACTGCGTCTCCTAAAAGGCACCCTTTAAAAATGCATTGAATCTCCCATCAGCATACACTACGTGTCTGCTGCTAAGAGCTGTGTTTTGAAATGCTGTTCCAGATGTGAGACTCTGCGCCCCGCTGAGAGAGATGAATGTCTAGGGGGGCTGCAGGCTACCTACAGGTTCACATCCTTAATGAGCAGAAGAGTCTGCTGAGAGCAAGATATGATTGATAGCGCAACGACAGAAGTGGAAGTGGGGGAATCGCAGAGAAGGCTTTTGATAAAGGCGATGGGATGGAGGGGCTTTGGCAGGCTGGGAAAGAGAGGGAATCTGGCATCGGACGACTTGCGCAAGCTAGATGCCAGGAACCCGTCCACCGTGCTGCAAAAGCCAGAGAGCTTCCTCTTGTCAGAACCCCTCCTCTCTGGTCTGCGAGTTCAATCCAAGCTGGATGCTCTTCACTGTTGCATGCCTCAATATATTCCACATAACACACTTTTCCCCTCAGAGGGAAACAAATAGCAAAGGTGGAATTCCTGGCAAGTGACTCCGGATGTTGTTGGCAGTGAGCGAGGTGAGGCGCATCCAACCATATTAAATACCAACTGCACTAGAAGCATTTCTTCTTACCAAACAGGCATTTAAAGAGGATTATAAGCAAAATGTGCATTTCTATTTATTAACAAGACATGTTGGACTCTTTTTTTAAATCCTTTCTGGGGCCAACACCGTTAATTTTCAATATGAGTGGAGTCGATGATTGTGACGGTAAGTCCAAGAAAGCACAGGAATGTTATGAAGATTACAACAGAAGCTCAGAATTCAGCTCCTTACGTTCAGGAGGCAGCGGTGATACAGTCAACCCCCACTTCAGGATTTCGCAGTCCCCGCAGAATAATGAAGTGAGGCTGGGTGGATGCCAGGAGGGTGGCTGCTTATGTCAGCCTGCATAATGTGCTCCGACCAGGGTCTCTTGTCATGTCACACTTGTGATGCATTGACTCCTGCGATCCTCATTAATCCTCCAGTGTCAGAGCTAATCAGCCTGGTACAGTTTCATCCAACAGTTCACAGGACATAATGTACATGAGCCACTTTAACCTCGACCAGACAAGTGAGCTAAATCAACTGAATTACACCCAACACATGGACTGTCAATCCCCCCTGACTGTGTTGAACGTGCTCAAGTTTTTTTTTTTTTTTTATTGCCATAGTTCACTTGACTTACAGAGAACTACCGTGGACAAATGACATTAAAAACAGGGTAAATCATGGCTCCCTCTGAGCTTCAGCCAAGTGAAAGTCGTATTAATGTCAGTGTGGGTGGCAACAAGGGATGTGCAGAGGGTTCTGAGACTCCAGATGCGCCGCGAGCTCATCATTACACCGTGCAGACAAAGACACGTAACCTGGAAGCCATGCACGGTGGCTCGTGTCGGTGGGCTAACTTCTCCCCTCACATACTTTTAGCGAAGCGGACACACACACACACACACACACACACACACACAAACAAACACACACGCGTTAGCTGCAGGGACGCTAGCTTACCTGTCTGGAATTGGTTTGACGTCGTCCTCGGCTCCACACTTGCTTTGTGGTGACGACTGAAATCCAAGGTGCGCTGGGGAGAAAATGTAGAAACTCCCTCTGTGGACGAAAACACGAGCGCGTCCTCCTCCGGCTCGTTCTGCTAAATTTAGCGCAGCGCAGCAGACACGCCAACCTTGAACGCTACTTACGTAATTACGACTTAATTATCGACCGAGCACTTATCGCGAAGCGCGCGCGCGCGTTTCTCCCGCGCGAAGCATCCCCGCGCGCTGGCCACTGATCGTTTGTTTGTTTGTTTGTTTGCTTGTTTATTTGTTCGCCTGCTCGCTTGTTGTCCTCAGGTGAGCTGCGGCGGTGTCGGCTGTCTGCAGGTCCGGCTCCATCTGCGGTGATCTCCCGGGCGGAAGGTCCCGAGCAGCTCACGTCGTCACGGCAGAGCTGACACCTCGCGTGTGCGTGCGTGCGTGCGATCGTGCGTGCGTGGCGGAGAAAACAACACCAGCGTCGCAGATCCATTCCCTCCAGTCAAACTACTGCTGACGGGTTCACGCTCCGCTCGGAATTTACACCACTCTCTTGGTCACCCGGCTTAGATGGAGCAGGCTGTTACTGCAGCAGCTTCAGGATCACCGCTGCTGTTCAGTATGTTTCTGGATACAACCGACAATAGTTTCCTGTCATTTATCATTCAGCGATTATAGCCTATTTTGTTAACCCTACATTTATTCTAGATATGTCAAAGAGAATGCAATCTAAAATCCAACACCATATGCACTTACTAAGAATTTACTAAGTATTGAAATATGCTGCAAATTGTTTTGACTTAAAAATGCATTATGTGATTAATCAATCAATCTGAAAGAGGGCTGCAACCAACAGGTTTATATTATAGTTCAATTTATTTGGGTTAATAGACACAAGGTTAATCTGTATTTGGTTTGTTAAAGGTTCTATGAAACACTTGCATTGTCAGTGATGAACCAGGCGTCATAGGTGTTTCATGTTTTAACATCGGCCCTGACCTGTGTCTACTTCCCACTCAGAGTAGTCCTTCCACCTGTTCCTCTGGCAGTCAGATACGTTGCTTGATTTCTTTCCTGAGCTTGGCTAACTAACTGCAATGTCTTTGGCTGATCAACCAGCAGCTGCCTATCCCTGGGTCTTTGGCTGAGTCGTCACCCCTGCTCGCACGAAGGTGATCTCATGCTAAGTTGGGTGCCACTACTTGCTTATTGCTCTGATCATTACTTCAAAACTGCCCAAACTTTAATTGACAAGAATGGCCATGTAGTGGCCAAGTGTTTACTATTTTCTGTCAATCAACTAGAAGCCAAAGTTAACATGGAGCCTGTGTTTGTAATTGTTTAATTAGGCTGCAGATATTATATTATAACTTCCAGGTAAGGGGGACTAGGGTGTGGTTTCTCTTTTTTTTCACCTTTTCACCAAAGATGAGAGTTGAGCTACGGTATTTTCTGTTGACCATCACACTTTGCTTTAAGAAAATGCATCTTGGACTCATGGACCCTTTTTGAACTGCAACTATTTCTTTTTTAATGGAAAGTAGTTGCTACTCAACCAGTCAAATAATTGAAAACAGTTAAGTCTACTCATTTTTCTCCTAATGTCAACAAAGTATTTCAGCTCTAATTATGATTAATATCAGTAAACTGTCATGTAATGATTTTTTTTGCAGGCCCACTTATTGATACAGACAAATCACCAATTATATGCCGATATTCATGCCACTTTGTTCTGGTCCCTGCACTGAATATGTAGTTCTCATGTTTTCCGACAGCACTTGAAGGCATTCAAAGCCTTTTTTTTCGATGGGTTGTGTGTTGGATATCTGCTCTGCAGGGATGTGACCGACAGAGAGAGGGGAGGGAGCAAGCCCCTCTCATCTGTTATGCATTTCCCCTTTGATTCAGCAGCAGCCACTGAATCTTATTTTCCAGCATTTCTCCCCCTGAGCACTTTGTTCTGTGTTCAGCGGTGGAATGTGCTGGAGAACACAGTTAATTGTAAAGAAACGAATACCTCTGATCTTTTTTTTCTGTAAACCCTTCTCATTCAACACCACAAATGAAAGACTTAGCTGATGATTTTAAAGCTATTATCTGTCTGTATAATAAATGTGGATAACCCACCTGTAAGAAGGAGCAGTACTCCCCAATATTCTTTTTGATAACAAATAAAATAAATCAAAAGAAGGTATAGATGCTTCACCTGGACATATCCATATATCCATTTTTGTCTTTTCCATTTTTGTTCCTAAAATTAACTCATTCCATACCCAACCACTTTCAGCAACACTAATATTTTTATAGCTAAGCTACTAGAGCAGAAACAGTCTTTTTTTTTTTAGTAGTCAGATTAATGAGATTTAAAAAAAATACGTCCCTCATATAAAAACACAGTTTTATATTTTACTTAATAACTTAAAAGTTTATAAAACATTTGCTATTTTAGTTCATATTTACCACACAAGGAATAAAACACAATACTTGCTCCACCTGTTGGTTGTTTTGTGGCTATGCAGGAAAAAAACACATGTTGGAGATTTGATTAACACTTTGTAAATTGAGCTGCACATCTTACACAAAATTTACCAAAAATGTGAACACTCGCTGTGTGAGAGGCTGTTATAAGAATCCTCCAGATAGAAAGAACTAATGAGATGTTTGTTCATTTGGCACTAATGTGATTCCCTTAGGGCTTTTATGTTAACACAAACACACACACACACAAATAACAATAATTGCTTTCTTTGTTGCTCTTTTTTAAACAATAATTCTTTATCACATATAAACCGTCTCTCTCATAAATCAATTTGTTAGACATTTTACAACTCAAACTCAGCCCGAAGTACAGAAGAAAGTACATCTACAAATACATTAAGACAGTGTGACACAGAGTAGCTGAGTGAAAAACAGTAAGGCAGCGATGCCGTCTGTGGCATTGGTCATTTCAAAACTAAAAGAAAAAAAACACACAATAAGAACCAGTGTTAAAAACCAGAAAAGTTCAGAACGTCTTAAGAAAAATGAAAGAAAAAGAAACCGTACTTCAAAGCATAAATATACTGTTTTAAAAACCTTATTAGTGAAACCCATTTTGCGAAAGACGAGCAAACATTGGCAGAGAATGTTTCTCAACTAGCAGGTCTCTATGTCGTAGGTATGGAGGCAAAGAAAGGCCACAATTTATTAGTTTTAAGCAGCTGGATAACCAATTGAAACCCAAATGGAAATTAAATACTTAACAATACATGATGACATTTAATTATCTCTAAATTAAAAGGATTGAATATAATATTTTACTTTTGGTATCATTGTTTAAATTAATGTGGTCTGTATTTCAATACAGTTAGAAAACAGAATAAAAGTGTACATGTTTTACTTGACTGACAGAACATAACTTGACAGGACAGAGGTCCCATGTTTCCTATAATATAAAATGTTCTCCTTAAATTTTAGTAACTCAATTTCTCAATTTGAGCATCATTTTACAAATTTCTATCTGAATTTATCAGCCCCTAAAAACACTTATAAATCAATTTCATTTCACAATTTTAAATCATCTTATAAAAAAGTAAAAGCTGGAAAATATAAATTACATACATTTAGATTCATTTTTGTGTGTTTTTAAAAAAATCCCATAATGTTATATAGTCTGGGATTTAAAAAAAAGGTATATTTAGGTATCCAGATGCTTAAAAGATTGAAAATGTTTGGCCCTCTTTTGCTCCCATATATGATGACAAGACCTGGTGGTACCATCTGAAAAGAAGTGGCATGTTAATCACAACAATAACGTAACACAATGTGTGATGCTCCCAGGAAGATGTAAGTGTATATTTTACACAAAAAAAATTATAGATTTTTTAGTAACTAATCTCTTTTACTGTAATTTATCTTCAGTGAAGATTATTTTTCAGTGAATGTTCATCATTCATCATCTTGGGAAAAATAAAGACGCACAAAAACATGGCTTCCATCACCGTTCAAACACATCTACAGTACATTCCTGCACACATTCTGTTGATTTACTTTGATTGGGAAAAAAAAACCCCGCTAATACAGTAGGGTCATGTAACAGTGGATTTGCAATCCTATCCAGGATCCGAATGATATGATGTATGACTGATTTCACGTCTTTCACATGGTGTGTTTCACCATTGTGCTGTAAAGGCTGTGCTTTTGATTCACGCTGCTCGAAGCATCAAAGCTGAGAAGTCTTGACAGATTGGTTTGACATGAGCTCCCCTGGTCTCCATCACAGCACTCTGTGGCTTTACACAGAATGTAAAGAGGACCAGCTGCTATAAGACATAATCGCGTTACTTTAATAACGAGAAGCAGTCCACAATTGTATTGCTCACAGAGTTGGTTAATATTTCACTCGTAACTGTCTTCACACAATTTCTTCCCCATTATTGTTACAAAAATAGATAAGAAAACATTTACTGTATATAAAACGTATGGCAGACAATCAAGAAGTGGATTGTTTTGTTCTAAATACCAGCAATCAAAGTCATAAATGATCACACCCAGCAAGAAAGTGAAACAACTACTGACATCACAGCCCCCTATGCTCCCTTTACTGCACTGTGCATTCAACACACGCACACACATCCACTTGGTAACACTGCACAAAGCTAGTTTTCACGACAACTACAGGCACAGCAAGGAGTATATGTATATGTTGTTTGTAAAATGAAGTAAGAAAGTGTCCACATCGAAGAATACAACTCATAACCCACAGTCTGCACACCGAGGCTCCTATGAAAACAGTCTGGACTCCCTTCAGTAAGGTTGACTGGTGCTGTACCGTATATGTGTACGTGCGCGTGCGTGCCTATGTGTGTATGCTTTCTGCAATCATAGATGCAGGTGTGTGTGTGCTCTGAGGGTGTGTGTCCCTGTCCGTTTTTTCAACTGGGTCTACTTGAAGAAATGTGTGAACTGACTAAAGCATAAGGCAAGGGATTCTGTGCGTGTGCAGCCACAGCACCGACATAGCACCAAAGCAGGTAAAAGAGAGTAACAGGTACATTTTCTTCTCACCTGTTACTTCACTCTGTGATGTATGAATAATTCAGATATCTGTAACATCTGTGTCTTGAGATTCCTTTGAACGTGTCTTCGAAATTCACTGCAGCTGTTGATTGGTCAACGCAAAGTGAAGATTATCAAACCACCACAGTAACTACGCATCTCAGTCAGTGCAGCCGTAAAGTAGAGTTTTCCAAAAATATCAAACGTTCACTGACTCTCAGGGATCATGTCAACTGTGACACTATCGCTGTCAGTGATGTCATACATTTCACTTGATTGAAAGTGTCGTTTTGTAAGAGGCTCAGACAAATGTTGAGATATTTTACAATGGCAGTGTCGACTGGGACAGAAGAATTCCTTAAAAATGGCTGTAATTTAATTTTGACTTAACTCTTCAAAATCCATTTTCCGTAGGCTGTAAAAATCATTCAGTGTTCCTCCATCCTCAGAGTCCTGCATATGTTTGAACACAACAACTGGCAAATTACACTTCGGCAAAGTAGAAATCTGCAAAATATATAACAAGTGGTGATTTAACATGAATACCGGTTAAATTAATTAAACCTGTTTTGTGTTGGTGTTTCTGTTTCTTGTGCCTAAGTAATGACTTGTTTCTGATTGATACATATTGAACAGAGTAGCTGACACATTGATAGTAGCCTAATGTAGCCACACATCTGGCTTAAGCAACCGACATCTGGTGAAATTCAGAGCTAAGTGGCTCTGCTGCTGCCTGATTTACGTCGTTAACAAGATAGTTGCTTCAGGTAGCTGGCAAGTTGTAAAAAATATTTGAAAAATTAAAATTGCTTAAAGCCCTATAAGTTTCAAATCACTTCACTATGATATTAAATAAACTTAAGATTAAAGTTACAGTGAAATTAAAGAAATGTACTATATATTAGTATGGTAACATATTTCTGCCCGCCTTGCTTTTCTCGGTCTCATCTATTTTCTCTGCTTACTTTGCACAATTCACAGCAAAATAAAATGAATGATCTTCCACCACAGTTTCAATGTCTGTCGAATATACCACAAACAAAATTTTTTGCAACACTTCCTGTACCCGTTTCAAAGTAAAAGGACTTCACACATTTTTTTCAGATAAAAAAATTATCAGAATACTATTCAAATATCTGCTATACCTAGTAGTCTATGTATCATGAGCTCACTGGGCAAGTAAGAAGGCGATCGCAACTCATTTTCATTCCACTGTGACTTAAACATTAAACTAACTATGTATTTGCAATGGCCATTTATTTTCATTTGTGGCTTTTTTAAGGGAAAGGTTCAATTAATGACATACTTGTTCTACAAATTCTGAGAAAACCAATGATTTTTGCTCTGAGACCTTCAAAGCTTGCTCAAGGATCAGAATTAAAGTCTCTATGAGAAGATTAAGGATGATCCTGCAACCGTTGTTTGAGCCAGAGGTGTGGGTACACAAAATTACCAGACTTTAACTTTCTTGTGAATATTATCCAGGACCTGCATCTAGGAACAGGCTACATCTTAACCAGTTCAAAGGACAGAGTGTCATCTGCAGAAAAAAAGGATAAGATCTTTCCAAGACAACCCTTGACATCACATTTCTTTCCATATTATACTACTATCAATGGTTGTCAATGTGAGTTTAGACACAGTGCCATGAAAATTATTATGCTATGCTGTGATGAACAACTGAACACATGGTTCTGTCACATTCCTGTTTCCCTGCTGAATCCATGTCTCGCTCCTCTGGGACAACAACTGCTCTGTGCAGTTACCCCTCAGCACTTCCTCATCATACTCTTCTGTCACTGTTAGGACTCCAGCAAACTGTGCCATCGGCAAACCTGCTGTCCTTTAGACTCTTTCATCTGCGTCCAGTGGGTGAGCTCCTCCTCTCCGGAGCTGTTGAGGCCGAGCGAAATCCAGCCAATCATCTCTTTGCGCTTCATGCTGCGCTTGTTGTAGACGGAGAGAATGAGCGTGACGTCCGATAGCTGGAAAAGGGCTACCTGGAAGACAAACGTCTCTTTGTAGGTTGGGTTGGGCTGACCCCGACAGATGGATGTCTTACACTTGGACATCTCGTGACCCATGGAGTTCAGTAAGGTCAGCTTAACATATGTATCTAGATGAGACACAGGTGGAGTGGACAATAAGAGGTGATACAAAAAACCTTTTGACATATATTTATAAATACATGGTATGATGGTGTACATTGCTTCAATGTTTCCTAAGTTAAGTATTGGATCATTTGTGCAAAATCCTTATTGTCTTTGAATCAAAGTACCACCACCTGCTGCAGCTGTTTCCTCTGCAGCAGTATGACAGCATTGTCATTTCCCCCCACAAAGCATTCGTTCTTGTTAAAGTCACTGCAACTGATCCTGACCACATAGGATGTGGTTTCTCTCCTGATCAAAAACAAAGCACAGCTGTGAGTGCTCCTGATAACAGAGAGCAAGAACTCAAAGGTTTCTAAGAGTGTTATTTTAGTCTTGTTGCTATGCAACTCCTGTATGTCTAACCTGAAGCAGGAAATAATGTTGAAGATAAAATATGGGCAAGAAAAAGTTAGTTATATGTCCGTCTGTGCTTAAAGGACAAGGAGCCTTATCTGGAACAAATTATGTGGCTGAAATTAGAATCTTTTAAAGCCCAGGGCAGTGTCCCAAGACATGCTGTCCAAAACAAGAGTCACATATTTCTGAGAGATGCACGCCTGCTGCACGCAAACGTTAAAAAATTCACAGATTATAAGCGACTGTTGGATAATTCCAATGCGTCTAGACAATATACCACTTTTATATCAGGAACAAAAATAATTAGATTAAGATCTTTCTAATCAAAGAGAGAACATGATCTGTGGACAAGTTTACTGGAAGCAGTATTTAAATTTAGCATGGAGCTGTTATGGCATGTCACTGATACTCTGTGTGACATTTCCCACCTTTTATCCCCTGCCGATTCCCATCTGTTTTATTGCACAACAAAAGCAAAAAAATCATTTTCATGCGTTTAACCCCAAAAAAGGGAAAAAAAGACATTATACATTTTCTGTTATCAAGTGATTCAGCATTCAAGGTTGCCTTATTCACTCCTCATTTCGATGCAGAAATCATGACATAAACCGATGCCACAAATCCGGCTGAAAAGTAAATGAGGCAAGACTGGCAATCACAATGGGCCTTTGAGAGTGTTTCGCCCCTCGTCTACAACCACATTCTGTAATAATACTGTGTATTATGTTCCTGTCTAAGAGAGAGTAGAAGGAATGAATTGCAGGGGCTTTCATGCTGTCGAGTGCCAGCTGCCTTCCAACGCCTAGCTCACCGCCTTGAATCACACATTCAGTTGCGCTCTTTGACATAAAAGCACAGTGAAAAAAATAGCCTTGATTTCTTTTTTGACTGCTGCTGAATGGGCTGTGTGGAGCTGTGGATGTCTTAAGTGGTCAGTAGCGGTGATGCATGGCTCTTGGGTATTGTTGCTGAATGAGAGGGGCTGCGACTGATGATTAACTTGACTCGTCGGCTTGGTACTGTTTTGAAATGATAGAAAAGGAGCTTTGAAATTGCTCCGCGGCTTTCACCGCACTCCTTCCACTTTGTAAGACGCACAAAGTCAATCAAGGCCTGCATGAGGATTTTGCACAAAGATTTTTTCAGTGTTACCAGATGTGACTATTTTTTCTAAATGTAATTTGAAGACTATACAGTACGTGCGTATGCTATTCAGGAAAGCACAAACAATATCAAAATCTGGCAGCTAATCATTAGTTACTGACATCCATGAATATACAAGGAACATGGCAATTAATGGGAGGACAGCACAGGGTGTGTGTAAGATGAACATTTATGCTACTCTATCCCAAGAAGTCCTGTTTCTGTTTCATGTGCTGTAAGCAGAGAAAATGAAATGAAAGATTACACCCAAAGCATGCCAAAGTGTAGCCCACTGTTTGGATTAAGCCAGCAGTCAGTGATGCACAACATTTGCTTCTAGCTGGCCATCAGCCACCAAGCAAACCAGATTGAGTTACACAGCGTGAAAAGTGTTATTTCTGAGTAGAATAAAAGACTCCCAGGCATCACAGGCACAAACACAAGAAAGACATGAGATAGTGTGGTGACAGTGCTGCATGCAAAATATACGCGTTCAACAACTGCAGGGAACAAAGGTTACAACAAGCAATAATCTTCATGGATGAGGAAGTGTGAAGAAATTGCTGTAGTGCCAGACCAGAATTAAATTTAGATTTTTCACCAGATTATACATGGATACAACTTTTATTTTTGCATGTTAAATATAAAGCTAAAGCAAGGAGACTATCAGCTTAGCATAAAGACTGCAGCTATCTTGGCTCTGTCAGTTTATGGTGATTGTTTTATCTTTATCTTATTTATAAGAGATTAAAGGCATTTTCACACCTGGCCACCAGACCAAAGTTCTGACCAGGGTTATTATCAAGGTTCATATAATTGTTAATTGTTTAATTGTTTACATTTAAAAGAACTGTATGACATACGTACGTCATGTCATCGTCACCTACGTGGGCTGTGTCTATCTATACTTGATATGGATTGTTTTCCGATAGTCGTGCATCTGACATTGACATGTTGTCAATTTGGCTATTCAAAGGACATTAGTCTCTCCATTTAAATGGAGAAATTAATGAACTGGTTCACTTAGTTCATTTATTGGCCTCTTAATGGTATTACTACCAGCAAAGGAAACATCTTCCTCGTTCAAACATTATATCATTGGAGGCAAAGACTACGGGCGATCCTGCAAGCTGCATCTACTTCTTTTTTTCTATTTTTTAATGCCGCACTTTCAGCTTCCTGTGATTGGTCCAAAGTCCAAAATATAAATGGTTTTAACACAGCAATTAAGCAAACCAAGGTTCAGTTTTATCTACATACAAGTTTTGACTGAGGCTCCTTTCACACCTGCTATTTTAGTTCAGAGGAAACTCAAAAGTCTGTAGGTCCGAAACAAGTAGGTGTGAAAGCACCCTGAAAGTTATATCACCAATCTGTGGTATTTAGGAAGATTATGGGCTGCACAGCTAGCTGGCTTTAGCTTCATATCTAGTGTTTTGATTTCAGTGAATTAAAAAAAATATTTAAAACAAAAACACTTGCGTATAGTGCTTTTAAAATTTCATGGTTGTAACAATAATCTGTTTCCTCCAAAATATTACATTGTTTCAACTATTTCTAATGAAAATCTATTTACAGAGTAAGTAAATTGAATAGTTAATCTTAAGTACAAATGATGAGCAATCAAGCATGTAAGTATGTTATTATCTGCATCCATGAAGACAGTATGAAAAGGTCTAAGACTGAACATGAATAGCACCCGACTTTGGGGCAGGGACAGGGACTCACCTCTGATAATATAAACCTGTCCACCTATCAAGTGTTTTAGACAACAGAACAGTCCATCTGACAACAAGGGTTGGACAGCAGTAAGAAAAACAGCGGACCAAGATGTCAAAAAAGGTGGCAGGGAGAGAGAATTTCAGGTGCAGACACAAAAGAAGATGCGAGGAAAGAGAAACGGGGTCAGAAGGCCAACAACATTGCACAAAGTTCAACAAGAGGTGTTTTTTTGTTTGAACTTGCTGCTTGGATCCCTGGAAACTGACTGAGGAGGCTGGCTGGGAAAGGAGGGAAACCACAAAGCAGGTAGTGCAGCTGGGATAGATACAACTATCTATCTATGACCACACAAATTAATTCGAGACACAAAGAGATTTTGAGAATAACGTCAGTATTATGAGAAGTTGTGATATTATAATTTTAGGCTGTGTCATTTTAAAGGAGGAATCAGAAGATCAGCCTGTTACCTGCACTTTTAGTTATATGTTTAGTTTGTTTCATAAATAAGAAAATACTTACACACGCAAATCAGCACCACATCATCATAAGTATCAGGACTTTGAAAAGATTAGGCAAGAAATTGTCAATTAAACCACATGGACCTTGAAGAAATTGCCTCTTTTGTGGAGGAGAAAATGTTAAATAGTAGTCAACTTCAGGGCTGACACTGGAAACATCTGCGTGTTCAGAGAGATTTCATAGTTTCTCAAGAAACAATTACATTGGTTAAAGATTTTGGATCAAGGATTGGAACTCTAACTATCACAGGTTCTCTGTGCTACTTATTTCCCCCAAATTTAATTGATTTCTTTATTCACAGAATTATATATCATATTATATTTCTTGTTGAATTACAACTTTAATCTCATAATGACTTTTTTCTGATTACATTACGATTTTATTTTCAGAATATTACAATTTCACTCTTTATTCATGAAAGTATGGCGTTTTTCCTCATTAAATTACAACATTATGTCTGTAATATTATGATTTTCTTCTCAATCATGACTTCTTTTAATATCACAATCTTATTCTCAAAATCTCATTTTATTATTTTTAATATTTTTAATATTTTTTAAAATATGGCCCTAATACTATGTTGTAATATAGTAATATGTTTAATACATAAGCAGGATCACTTATTTTCACAATGTGAGTCAAACGAAAATCCCTATGGACCAGCTCAACTTGTCCCTTTCCATTCTAGTATCTGAAACAAAACATTTACTAGTTTTACTGTTCACTGCTCTTTCCACATACTGCTCAAATAAAACGTTTTGTGGTACTTACTGGGTGGCTTGTTGGCAGCTAGGTTTTTGAAATGGATGCCTTTGATGATCTCCACAGAGAGACGTCCTGTCGTGGCGTTGTACACCAGGCCCACAAGGATCTCTGGGGTGGAAGTCTGACTTACTGACTGGAATGATGAGGCGCTTTCGCTGCATGTCAAATCTGAAAGGCTCACCTGGGATTCCCCACCCTGAGAGGGACAGTCAGAAAATAGCTCACTGGTGATCTACCCTCTACATCTACATATTAAGTGGATTATCAAGATTTCACTGTGTGAACGTAAAGTTTTATGTTCATTAACATTAATCTAAATAGCAGAGTACACATTTATTCTGATGACACATCAGAAGGTAATTTCAACAATTCTCTAAGCCGTGTCTTCCTCAGTAACAACAGCTGTCAGTCTTTCTGATCTCAAATCTCAAAAATAATAAGGAAAGATTGCATTTTCTCATTTCTCAAAAACCATCTTGTTTTACATCTTAAAGATTTCAGTTGCTCAGTACAGCTATAGCTAGCTAGTAAAACCAACATCAGGTCCATTTATTTGGTCACAACATCAATGTAAGTGTTTCACTTTACCTTAAGGTTAGCTTACAACACCTTTTCCAAATTGCCCTAATCGTTGCAATTGAGGCATTGTTCGAACTACGTGGGAGCTAAGGGTAACCCGGCTCCCCTGAAATGAATTCCCGTGAAAGGCTACTTTGAGATATTTAGGGGGAGCTCTGAAATATTGTCTATTATTGTTACAAGTTACAGAGTTTGATGTTCTGTACAACGAGGCTGTTGAAGTAAATAGTAATATTAAAAGATATTCAAATGTATGTTTTTCACTGATTTCAAACATTTGTCTCGACTAATTAACACAATGCTGTATCTGTTCATACTGTGGCCATCCACGCATGGTGGTGCTGCCCTCAAATCATATTTTTTAAAGTTCATCACTTCTTGAACTTGTCTTCACTGAGTTAGCATGGCCCACAATCTATTGCTCACATTCATGACACCAAACAAAACAAAAGAGCTCATCCATCAAACAGGAACTTAATATTCTCTCAAGCTACAAAATAAAACCTTGCTCTGAAAATATTAATCAACCATATGTAAGATCAATCAGTGTAGTGGAGCAATTAGGGAAGTGTTGAGCAAAAGCTTGAAAGCCAACATCTGCTCTGATCGTACTCACCAGGAGAGCACAGCATGGGTCTAATATGACTGGCACCGACATTTTGCCCTGAAGGTTGAGCTTGGTGAGGTAGAACACCTTCTCCCCGAGCACCTTCTCCTTCTTCATCCGCCGCATACTGTAAAGGCGGAAGCGGAGAGCGTAATTGCTGATCATCTCTGACTCCACGTGGCTGAAGCGGAAGGTCTCTGTGAAGATGGGACACGGGCCTCGCTGGATCCCCGTCTTTGCTCTCTGCTTCTTGGTGGGTAGCAGCACTAGGTGGACCTGCCAGGAAAAGTTGCCAGTGCGTTTGTGGGCGGGGAGGTCCGTTACTGCCATGATGGTCAGCGCCAGCTGCTGCTCCTCTGAGTCATAGTCAAACACTACATCCAGAGTGCCGTATTTTGCAATGGGATCTGGTTCGTAACCTTTAGGGAGCTGTGATGCTGATCCTCGGGCAGACATATCCTAAAGAGTGATATGTTCAATGTAAACATCTCACCCATAAAAACGCTTTTTCACAGTCATGTATTATTATAATATCACTGCTACTTACCTCTGGGCTGAGGACGGCGGTACTGTCACTGGGTACATCCTCCTCATAGCCCTTGTTGAGGTAACTCTCATGGTCGTCACTGTCCACACTAGGACATTTGCCAAAGGACAAGTGAGGACTGCCGCTGGTTTGGGACAGATCGCACTTGGCGTCACCCAGGTCGGACAGTGTGCAGGACATCCGTGGAGAGCCATTCTCATCCTGATAGGGTGGTGGCTGAAGCTCATCCAGTGGCGGTGTGCGTCTCATTCGCTGAATGCAGTTGACTGGGCCGAAGGAAATTAATAAAATACATATTATAAAGTGTATTACTTTGTGACTTCTTTATGAATGATGTAGTGCAGATAAAGTTAAGGATCTGTCAAATAAACAATTGATCATAACAAGGAGCTCCATCAATCATGTCTCAGTAAAATCATTAACAACTCAAAAGGTCAGTGGTGGCTGGCTAATACGGGGCATTAGGGTGCCGCCCCCTCCAACATCCTGGGACAAATAAAGCCTGTATAAAAATGTTAAACATAATTTAATTAGATAATAATAGTTTACAAGTACAATGCTCCTGGTAGACTGTAAGCACCTGGGAGCGTTCAATATGAGTTGTTTTCAAATTGTATTCGGTTCATTTTTTCCCAAATACATAAAGTTCTGGGTGTGGGGCGCCGACCAAATGGAGCTGAATGGGGGTCCTAAAAGTTTTGGCAACCCCTGGACCTGAGGCCGCTCTTTAATTGGGGGTTACACCTGCACCCCCCAATTAAATGTATCACCAGCCGCCACTTCAAAAGGTATGTTTTTCATTGAATATGATTTAAACCATAGAGTACAACTTAGTACAATGGTAATGTTGCTTTACATGTTGAAGATATGCTTGTATTACAGCCCTAGACCTCCTTATACAAACAAACTTGTGAAACTCTAGACAGAAAGCCAATTTATTTTCATAACTAAGGCAATCAGCTTTCTCTGTAACAGCCACAAGTCAAGTGAACAACCTGATGATGATGTGAGGGGCTGTAACTTCAAAATGATCAAAAACAACTTACATACTTTAGTGGTGTGTGTCTAGTTCTGTATTGTATGTTTTATCCTGTCCTTTCTGTTATTGTGCTGCCTTTTTGTCCTGCCAGGGGATTACAGAACCAAATTAGCTTGAAGCAATAATCTGCCGAGGAGCATCAAATTGTGACATTTTGTCCCCTTTGATTAAAAAACCCCAGAAATAAATAGGATGAAAAAATGTTTTTTATTTCAACTTTGGACGATTTATTTCTCAGCAAACTGCCCTCCTTCGGGATGGGATTCTTATTAATCCTAAAAAAGACAATTTGCAGAAACCTTGATAATAAATGCATCAGAGAGTCCGAGTGCACAACTTCTCCATTGTTTTAGCAGGATATCAGTCGTGTTAACAAATAGTGCAAAGCATATATTCCCTTTGTATAGTCATGTTGACACCTCAGCTGCAGTTATTAATGTAGGAAAGGCAATGCAATCTTATTTTTGCATATATTTTATACACTAGAAAATTAAAAGTGCTTATTATAAGATATGACATAAATGTGAAAACAAACGTTGATTGTATTTGAAAGACATTTGGGAAATCTCTTTTCCGCAAAAGAGCATGATGAAGAAGTATTTTTACCGAATTAACATTAGATTACAACAAAGCATCATGCAATGTAATTCTTTGTGATATTTGATAAAGCTGTAAAGGTGTGTGTCAATAATTATTTAATTAATAGTTATTTTCAGGTAAAAAATATATTTTTTATGTAATTATTTTGAATGAAGTTATAATTGAATATACCATATTTATAACAGAATGTATTTTCCCTCACAAATGGAGCAGGATCACTCTCACAGACCTCATGTGGTCTGTGAGAGGAATCATCTGAATGCACAACCTACATAAAACATCAGCTGTGTTAAAGGACTGAACTGAATACTTCTTAATCTGTCACAGATTTAATGCCTCTAACCGTTTTAAAAGGCCTCAAATGCCCACAAGGCACATGCAGAATGAGGCTACACTGAGCATCTCTGTGGCACTGATAAAGAACCACGAATAGTGTTGCCAGTTGCATTCTCAAACCTTGTCCAATTTGGATTCAGAAAAATTGAGCAGCTGATGCTAATACTCCCATAGGGACACTGGCAAAGAGTGCTTTATACCCTGATTCTTGCAAAAGGAAGAAAGAAAACAAAAGATGAAAAGGAACATAACTTGGAAAAAATCCCCTTCTTATGCTGTCTCCTAACTTTTGGAAAAAGACACACACTATGATGACGTAATCCGCAGCGACTCATTGTTCCAGCTTTCTCCAAAGTTCTTGAAACTTTCGCTCTTAATAATGTCAGTGAGACACCACCTCAAAGTGGCACATATCAGTGGAAGGATGGAGGCAAAGGAGTCTTAACTAAGTGTCATGGAGGGCTTGATAAAAGGAGCAAATCCATTTTGAGCAGCTTTTTTCCCGCTGCGCCGGGGGCGGTTGATTTGATGGAAGCTGCTGTGCAACAGCACTACTCTTTTCTCCAGCCCACTAATTGGGATGGTTACCATTCCTCCGCTCGTCTAACCCACCCTTCCTTCACGCAGTTTCATCCCCTCTGTACTGGCAGTCGCCGTGTTTTGCCTTCTTGTACCTCTTTAAGTGGGGTACCAGTTTGATATCTGTGAATCTCGACTGTGAGACTCAGGTACGAAAAAATCTGAGGTGACAAATTAGAGGAGCGACACTTTATTGTTGTGCCCACGGTTTTCTAGAAGGGGGAAACACACGGCCCCTTTGCTCAGTTGGCTTATTGCAGTTAGAGAGATTTATTGTACGATTTCACAAAACACCAATTCAACACAGTTCAGTTACGATCAATAATGCAAACAGTGAAAGCTCCATCCCGTCTGCAAATAGCCTGACCCACTGTCTAATGAATGTTTGTAAAATGATCCTGATTCAGACAAATATGGCCGATGGATAATTTAACAAGTAAGTAGGGCGGCTTTTCCAAGCAAACATCACTATCATATGATTGCTTACAATTACATTTTACAACTCCTTACAGTCCCCATGCCACCCTATTGCTATGTCATGATTTTTTTACCCCAGCCACTGAAAGCTACAACACTACAGAAAAACCAAGCATACATTTAATACAAGTTTGATTTTCTTATAGACAATTACATGATTATGCAGCATAAACATGATGGGAATTACCTTTGAGTTTTAGGAAAATGGCATTTTCTTTAAGATAGGGGGTTTAATGTCATGTGTTTGTTAGCCTAGCTTAGCAATAAGAATGTAGAGTGCACAGTCAGAATAATATGCACCCAACACCATTTTTCAAAGCTCATTAATTGACACCAACATGAAAAAATAGTCCAATGTAATTTTGGTGTAGGTCTTTGAACATTTGTTTATTTTTTGGTTTTTCGCAAAGTAATTAGTAGCCATGATCATCTGAATCCACCATATGTGCTTTCTGCAGCTTGTCAGAACTTAAATGCAGCTAATGTCTCATGGAAACTAAAATTTTGAACAAGGGATTCTCCTCTCATGTGTGTAGCCTCAATATTTGGCCAGTTATTGTGAATTACATCTTTATAAGGGTTTCTATAAAAGCCTAAATGCCTATCGTGTCCTTCCCTATATGCAAAAAATAACACTTGAACATTCTACCAACACTCGCTTTGGCGGAGGCAGCATTCATTCTATTAAGCGTTGTGTCATAAGACAAAAGAAACAAAAGATACTCTGTGGGCGTATGTGTGTATATGTACATGAACCACTCCTGGTAAAAAAGAGACATACAGATAGACATCAGGCAGACTTATAAAATGGGAGACACTGTTTTAGTCACACACTTACACAACAGTATTGTTGTCAGCATGTAATGTGTTATATACTGACTTTCATTATCATCAGAGTTTGTCCAGGGCGAGTAAAAACTAGGCTCACAGCAAACCTCCATATTGTTGTCGCCCTGAGGTCTGTGTGTTTCTTCACTTATAAGATTAGAAATGTTGATATTGTTATTTATATTTATATTGTTGATCCTGGATCACAAGTATCATGGTAGACTTCACCAGTTTTTCTGAACTCTGGGGCTCGAAGCAGATTGTTAACTAATGTGTTAGGAGCCTCATAAACAGAACCGTGAATGAATTACGGAGATGAGATTAAAAAAAAAAAAATTCCATAGTGATTAATTATGTTGCTAATATGTTTCCAATTGGTATGGCAATGATTTATCTGCATACACAAGAGGATGCATTACCTGCACACACACACACACACACACACACACACACACACACACACAAGGACATTTCATTGGCTAAGATTAATTTTATAGATGTTTTCAGGTGTTTTTCAGAAGGACTTTGGTAATGATGACAAGTCATTTTAATGAACTTTAAATTCCACAATAACGGTAAGTGCTCAATGTCAATAATTACATTACATTAAAATATCCATCATGCTTAGAAACAGGCAGCTGGTTCAGACAAACTGCAGACCATTTCTTTCTCACTTATTACCTATTTTAGGAAGCTTCCTATTTTGAGAGCGGAGCCACCGGGGCAGCATCGTCCCTGATTCTGCAGCCTCTGCACAAGCCCCCTCATGTTTAATACATATGTCCTGAACAAAAGCAGCAGTGTGGGTTAAGAGGAAACTTAACTACAGGCTCCTTAGAACTTTTACGAAGGCTCGTTTGAAATTAATGAAATAAAGTCTAGTTGGAGATTAAATGAAAATGGCCTTAAGCTATTTTGGAATCTAACTACTGGATTTCCACATTTTTAGTTTGGGAGATAAATCATGACCAGATGTCAGTTCAGGTATGAGGCAGCTGCTTGATCATTACTGATCCATGGTGGCTTGCTGTTATGACATGGTGGAGAAGAAAGTCACAGCTACCATAGCCTGGCCACAGGGAAGAAAATAACAAACCTCTCTTCTAACCATCAGGCAACAATCAATGGACGTGGCTTTCCCTTCACTAAATCAAGGTTATAGTTGTGGATTAAAAGGAACTTTATTAGAATAATCTGTTCAACTGATACAAAAACAAGGTTTTGAGAACCTCCAAATGTTCACTGGATGTTTTCTTGATGCAATCTTTTTATTTTAAGGGAAAAAATAATCTGCTTCGAAATCTGTAATCTTCGATATAATCCGTCAAACCTTTAAGGGTATTTGAATGACATCAAAACAAATACAAGGCCCTTCATAGCTAAAATGTTCTCGTATAAATAAACCACATACATTCCAAATGATTGCTGCCAGGCACAGTGAGTCAAATCCCTGCCTCCCTCTTCCTCACAAAGAAGCATCATGACACCGAAAACAAGTCAGCTATGGCTGTGTCCAAAAAAACAAATGCAGTCTTGAATGAAGTGAACTGCTGATTCATATATAGGCCACCTGATATATTTTGTGGTCCCTTTAAACTGTTTTAAAGGTTCAAGCAGTTTGTGCTTGATATAATTAAGAATTATAATTATATGATTATAATTGATATCATTTTAATCAAGAATGTATTATATTCCCCAATCTGTTTTTTTTCTTCTTCCAAAAAACATTTCACAAAATGTGTCCATCCAGACAAGAATGTAAAAAGACTACAAATGCTCAAAGAAGCTTGGTGGGCCAGTAGGTGGCGATAAAGTCGACATCAATGATCCATCAAAAATGACAAGAACCCTGTGGTCTAAGTATAGAGGTAAATAAATGCTAAATTAAAAAAAGAGCTAGCTGTGCAAACCAAATGTATTAACACTGGCATATTGTCACCATTGTTGTTGTTTCTGGTGCAGGCTCATTACACAAAGCAACAGTGGGCCGAGTAAGCTGTGATGTCATAATTTCCAAATTGCTCTGTTTTACACGTACAGATACAGTTTGTTCATAAATTCAGCGTGACTTAAAACTCTGTTTGTGTATAGACGAGAGGCCAAACAGGAAAAAGCTAATTTTGCAAAAACATCCACCCTAGTATGGACGGGGTATGAAAGTCAGAGGCAGGAAAATATTCAGAACCAGCTAGAGCCACCTTCACTAGCTTGATTGTTTTTGAAAGGCATCACTGTATTTCCACACGATATATATATTACAAAATACTGCTCTATTTGCCGGCAACATGCACAGACGTAAATGAACAATAATCAGATGTTGTTCTGACAAACTGTCCCGATAGTGGACAGTGAATAATTAGTAATCTATCTTACTTGTTCTCACCACTGCCACAGAACCACTTGACTGACAAGAATCATTAACTAACTCTTATCCTTCAAGCTTATGCAGCGGCAAGATTAAATGAGGCTGTTGTGGAACGATTCCCTGAAGAGAAAATCTGTGAATTCCTAAATGTCTGTGTCTGCATTGCAAAATGAAAGTCTTAAATAAATAATATAAACAGCCCAAACTTCCTATCTGTTACCCTGTATGTGAACTCTGGCTGAGGATGACAGAGACCATCTAGCGTTTATGAGGAGACACAACTTTTGCAGCACTTGCATGATGACAACCTTTCAACCAGTGCGTTGCTTTCTTTGCTAATGGAGTCAGAAGCGTGTCATGCACTATTTATCCCTCAGCAATGAGTTCAAACATTGCTTTAAATAGATGGTGCAATACACTGAGTCTTTGAACCCCCTGTCTTATATAACACAGAGCTGGTTCAGACATGATTCACCAGTTAAAGACCCTGGCAAAGATGAGATTGTTTTCGTCTTTGAAAAACACAGTCAGACATTGACACGAATTATTCCTGACTGAGGACGGACAACAAATCATGAAAACATATAATGTTTCCAAAGAAGACAACAGTGATCTCATGAAGCTTTGCAGGATCTGTCCAGCACTTTCATTTTAACTGGTTGGAGGTCATAAATGAGTGAATGAAATCAATGGCTCTTGGAAGCAGTTGTTTCAAATCAGATCATTATTGCCTTAACATTTCTTGGAAATGTTTTTTTTTTAATCATTTAATTTAGTTTGTTTTGATCCTGAGCTCCTCATTTTAACATTTTACTCTTTGTAAACATTTTATTTATTTATCTTTTATTTGATTTTTCTCCTCCTTTGAAGGAATATTTAGATACTTTGAGACGTCTGTTTTTCACGTTCTTGTTAAGAGGTACCGTTACCGTTCTCTTTGTGTTATAAACCTCAGCCAGCAGCCTGTTAGCATAGTTTAGCTTAGCAGTAGCACTAGGAATGGAGGAAAACCAGCTAGCTGGACTCTTTCTGGCATTCAAAAATTACAGCTAACCCGCTCCCCCAAAGCTCATTAATTAATTTATTATATGATTTAGTTTAATTCATAGAGTGTGGATTATAGCTCCACAAGAGTGAAGCTAAAGTGTCTCGATCACCCCTGGAGGCTGGAGTCATAAACCCCACCTCCACCTATGATAATTTTATTATAATTTTTTCTTAAATATGGTTCCTCTCATTCTTGTTGTTAATGAACTGTCACGATTGACCAATGTCAGGACAGCGGAATCGCTTGCCATCTTCCGCAAAAGACTCAAGACTCACTCATTCAGAGACCCCCCCCCCAAAAAAAAACTAAAAGAAAAACGTATGCACTTGTATGTTTGTACGATTAGCACTTCAATCATAGCACTTATGCATTTAAAGAATCTTTCACAAATAGCAGTTACGATCCTCACATGAGGGCTTGACAATTGTTTCTATATTTCGTTTTACCCCATTGGCGGTGATACAGTATGTTGTGGCTTCTCTCTTGTGACAGATGTACTTATTGTAAGTCGCTTTGGACAAAAGCGTCTGCTAAATGCCCTAAATGTAAATGTCATTGATTGGCAGCTGAGACTTGTGATTGATTAAACGTATGAATCAGCAGGACCTTCATAAACCGCACAGATTGTGGCGCCAAATGACATCATCCTTACCAGTTGGCAGAATATGTTTCTGGAATATTTTTACTTTATATCTGGTTAGTGGGAACAAGGCTAGCTGGTTATGCTAAGCTTAGCTAACCAGCAGATACAAAAGATGTATAGAGCTCCTTTACTAACTCTTGTATTTCCCAAAGTATCAAACTATTTTTTCAAATACAAAAATAAATATTTTCCTCAGTTTAGTCTCTCACTGATTTTATACCTATACTACCAGAATGGGTCCAATATAACAAATAATCTATTACATTATATCATGTCATGTAAGATGAATTACAGGCCTTCAGTGATTGATTCACATTTGAGGTTTAGGTGGAGTGTGCATGGTACTTTTAATGAAGTCAAATAAATAAACAAGCCACTTTTGCAGTCAAATATTCAAACGGATGAATAAGAGAACAAACTGACTAATCCAAATAGGTCAGTGCCAGTGTTATTCAGTCTATGATGAAAATGAAAAAAAAAAGAAGATTTTCATCCACCACGGTAAATGCCTTGAGATGACAAGTCTGGCAGATGGGAGAAAGAGATGAGAAAGAGAGATACAAAAAAAGAAGAAAAGTGTGAGGCTGGGGCTGTGCAGATTATGCAGACAGTTGACTGTTTCATAACCCTCCCACGGAGAGTGTGCTGAACAGGAGCTTCGCTTTGATCACCTCTCTGGATTAACTGACAGTGTGTGTCGGTGTGTGCGTTGTGTGTGTTGTGTGTGCGGTGCTTGTGTTTGTTGGGAGTGGAGGCGCAGCAGAGTCTGACTCAAGCTTACTGCAGTGATAAGAGGGAAATATCTGCACTAATCTCATTGTTTTCTTCAACGTACAGCTGAGGCGTCTTTTGTGGATGTTCTTGGAAAAAATAAACCAAACATTCAAAGTGACAGAAAGGAGCAATAACCCCAAATCATTTACAGTATATGAATACTGAAAGGATGGCATAGGTGTTTAATTTCACAGACACCTACCGTCATCGGCCGAAGCTTCGCTGCTGTAGCCTTCATAATCAGCACTCAGGGGGCTGTACTTATGCCGACTCTCCCAGCTGAAGCCTCCTCCGTGCTTGACATTAGCGGCTGCCTTGGCTCCTCCCCGGAGGCCCTGGGAGCGGCTGACCGCTTCCTGATACTGACCCATCAGCTCATCCTCGCTGTCTGATGATGAGCCCTGCAGGTTGGCGTCAGAGTAGGCCTTGTCTGTTTAGGATACAGAGCGACAGTCTGGTTACTGTGGGACACGCTGTGATTCAAGTTTCTTTCAGACAAAGAGAGTTGGTGTTTGATTAAAATCAAGTAGACTGGAAGCTTCGACTGACACAAACTGCATTGTCAGAATCACACTTAGTGTGTTATACAGAGATCTATAAATGCAGATTTTAGGGATATTAAATCAGTTGATAATCAACACGGTGGTGGACAAAATTTTGAAATGTATTTGAAAACTAGAAATACCGCCTTGGGTGTGTATTCCTCCACCAACCAGTGTTTTTTTTCTTGTCTAAATGCATTTTCTTTCCAGACTCATACAAGGCCACCTTTACCTTAGCCTTTGACCTTTGACCACTGAAATCTAATCAATTTATCTTTAAAGGTACAGTGTGTAGAAGTTAGTTAGATCTTGTGGTAAAGTTGATTGTTGCAGCTTAATACCCCATATCTCACCCTTCCAAACATGAACCTGTGGTAACCTTCAGTTGTCATAAAAACTCAAAGGGTGTTTAGTTTGTCCAGTCTGGGCTACCGTAAAAAAACATTGCCTTCGTAGAGAGGACCTGCTCCCAATGTCAATATAAAGTATTTATATATAAAGAACCATTATAGGGTAAAGAAAACAACAATTCCTACAATGAAAAGCACTAGTGAAAACATGACTGGGATTATTTTATATTCCACTTCTGCCAATAGATCCCTTTTACAAGTCCAAGTGACAATGCTCAAAATTTAAAGAAATTCCCTGAAGACAGACTTGAGATATCATGAAAATAAAGCCCAAAATATGTTTAACGTGGTCACAGTGACCTTCATCTTTGACTCCTAGTGAACTTTGGTACCAAATTGGAACTGAATTCCTTTAAGTCATGAGGGAAACTGTCGCCATGAGTGGAGGTATAAAAAAAGACTTGCTGACGTGTGTTGATTGAACCATTCTGAATTGAGCCAGTCAAAGCTTTGTTAAGGTTCAGTGATTTATATTCAGTTATATTTATGGATCTGGGTAGTGTCACACAGCAAAGTAATATATTCACAAATGTGTCTGATGTTTTGAAAACCAGAATTCAAGGATGCATAACAAATAAGTCCTGGATGTAATTTTTGAACCTTCACATTAGATTTTAAAAATACCACGATAATACTGATGACAGTGATCACCTGACCATTTCATCTCCATCCCTGAGAACTTTACCTTTCACACTTTGGATATTTGATCTGCTTTAAGAAATTAAAATGGAAAGTAAGAATTGTTTTTTTTTTTTTGCAAACCATTGTTTACAGGTGATATGTCAAGCTGGAAATTACTCAGTTATTAAAAGCTAGCAGATAAAGAACACTGTATTGGTTGACAATATAATAAATGTGTATCTGCTCACAACTCAATTGCCACCGCTCGGCTGAAATAGACATGAAAACAAACAAAAAAAGCATAGAGCATTCAAATATAGACTATCTCCATCGACAGGGAAGACGTAGCTGGATCAGGTTAGTTAAGTTCAGGTGAAGCATTTTACACATTTTACAGCAGCCAGACACAATGTTCCTGTCCTTAGGGTTTCAACATTAATGTTGCCATGGTGCTGTGTCCACGATCAGAGACATCATTATATGCAGCATAATGTCTTGATATGCAAGAAATAAACATTTTACTGAAAAGGCTATTAACAGAAATATATTAAAAATTAAATGTAAATACAAGCACAAAAAAATCTTTGTGGCCATGGTTATTTTGAAGCCATGCGTTTACATAAAAAGATGATCATAATTAGGACTGCATTACAGAAACTGATATTAATTTTTATGTGTGTGTAAGAGATAGAAAAAAGAAAACAATAAAAATCACAAAGATACAAAAAATAGGAGCCGTTCAGTCAGTTTATTCTTGAGGATCAACCACTGAAACTTTAGTTGTAACTTCCTATTTCTTCCAGCAGGGGACAGCATCGCCTTTCTATGACTCCCTTAATTGTGGAAGCGATAGAAGGGCTTCTTTGACTAGATTTATTTTTAATTTAAACACAATCCCTGTAAAAATAAATCAAAATAGATAAACGTTGTCATTAAAATAAATTAACTGCAGAAAAAGACAAATGAATAGACACCAGGAAGAATCAGCTAGCCAGCTCACACTGCCTCTCATTGTTTTAACTGAAGGTTTACCAGTGGTACTCAGGGTAGAGCCGGCTCCCTGAGGGGCCCTGGCTCCCTGGGGCCACCAACCTTTTAAACTTCTGAGGCCTCGGCTGCAGATGACATGTAAACATCCCAACATCTGTCAGTGACAGTCACCCCCTCACAGGTTGAGAAAGGTCAGGGTCAGAGAAGGTCTATACTTTTCACAAGTAACATGAGTCCAGCTGATGTAGAACTTTCTGGAACCTGTAGAAGCTCTCGAACAATGTTATGATAAAATCCTGTATGGAAGTGTAGTTTAAAGTGCTGCACTACCTGTGTTTACTATTTTTTAAATAATACAAATTCTGTCCACTCCACACAAGTTAGGTGAAAAAGGAACATAAAGTATCTGCCAGGTCCACGCTGACATATTTGCAAAATACATCTCTTTTCTCTTTTCCAATTAAATGTATTTGTTTATACTGGAAGCCACATTTAAAAAAAAATGTTTTAACATCTAAGAAACATTGTCTGAGTCAGACTATACCTTTTTTGAGAGGATGCTAAGAAATCTAGCCATGCTTTTGTATTCTCATGCCTAGACAACTGTAATACAAATATATTTACAATTCCCTTACGTTTTTAAAGCCAAAGCAGCCTGGCACCATCTTTACTTTTAGATTAGTACATATAAACATATAAAAAAATAGCAAAAATATAAAAAATAAACCTTTTGATTGTCTTTCTTAAAATTAATCTCAAAGATTTTATTTTTATTATTAACATTGCTTGATTTTACATCCTTTAGTGTCTTAGTATGTTCTGGGATCTGTTGTTTTTTAACTCACTTTTTATAAAGCAACTTGAAATACATTTTATGTTATGAAAAGTGCTATATGAATAAATTATCTCTCCGCGTAGGCTGAAGTATCTAGTGTTACATCAGATGAACTGTGTGTTACTGTGTGTATACTGGAAACTGTGGCTCTTATAGAAACAGCATAAAACTGACTCCAAGTATCTTAAAACAGTAAAACATGTGATTCCATTAGAAATATGGTGGAATATCTTAAGAGAGAAACTCCCATAAGAGAAACCTGAGCATAAAACCACACATGATGTGTATATGAGCAGCTCTACCTTGCAGCTCTGTGGTTTTCCTGAACTCATCAAGGCACTGCAGGCTCCCTGGATTCTCTAGCTCCAACTTGTTGTTGAGGTACCAGAAGAGGAAGGTCATGAGGATGATGAAGAGTCCAATAGCTGTCAGAAACCCCAGCACCTCTGGAGAGACTGAAAAAGAATTGTTCATATCAAAACATGAATCAACTTTGGCATAAAAGATTTCAGTAAGAACTTAGACCGTGGAAGAGATGATGATGGTGTGACTAGTGTCACACTAAAGATGTTTCTACATGTCTCCTGCCAGTAGAAGCCAGTAGAGTGTTTCAGTTTGTAAACCAGTGCTTATTATTATTAACAGTTCATTTGTTGGACCTTCATCATTTTTCTTTTAATAATAAAATTAATCCAATACTAAAAAAACAAGGAGGCCTGTCTAGAGTCAGGAAGACTTGGAAAACAACTGCATGAGGAGAAGAGAGAAGAGAGAGACAGAGGTTGTAACACTGCAGAGACACAACCTGTTGGTTGCCATAGCAACAAGTTCAGGGGCAGCGTCACTCCAGGCTCCAGATACACAGGCGAGTCAAATCTCATTAAAGGCAACGCTGGCTGCTGCACATCAGCAGACACGGTTTGATTCGGCGACATTAGATACAGACAGGATTTGTTAAAGCTGCTGATGACAACCATCTGAGTGAGGTTGTGACAGATGAAAAGCCTTCCACCTCAGGTACGACCTTCCAACGCCCTCAGGGACGCCATCAAGTCGTCATCAGGTGCACCTCAGAGAAGGCATCTCTTCTGAGCTGCTGTGTTTTTCAGCTGTGCTTTCCTCTGGCAGTGGATCAATCTCGTCTTATCAAAGTAAATAAATGCGCTAAAATACACATTTGTCCTCAACTGCTGCCAAACGTTCCATGTAAACTAAAAAATAACACATTTTCTTTCAGCAGCAATCAGTCGTCAGGGGTGACCTCCTGCAGTGTGTTGACCTCCTGCAGTGTGTTGACATTTTTCAGAAATAAACGAAAGCAATTATGTTTTAATCAGAGGCACAAAATTAAAGAACTCACTCCAGCGTGCCGTGCTAACAGTCTGTCTCCTGAGTACGAGTTCCAAATTAACAAGCAAAAACACAACGTTACTAAAATGTCACTTTGAGGGAAATTTCAGCTTCTTTTGCACAACATAATGAAAACTGGCTGAGGATACTATGAGAAAGAATTAGAGAGTTAGAAGCAGATCAGATCAGTCTCATGAGTCAATACACATGAGGCTAATATGCGTGAAAGGAACATAGCATCATTGCTCCTTATCAAGGAGGGACACATAAGAAATAATTAGCTTAGACTTCCCTTGAGATCTTTTGTGATTTAAAGAGGAAACTGCACCCGTACAATCAGACACTATGAGGTGCTGTGAGGACATGACCACTCTGTGTGCAGCTCCAGTAAAGGGCTTTGTATCAAAGAAGATGATTACAGGATGATTATGTTATTAGAAAAAAACAATTACACAACATCCTATGCAGTGAACCTGGTGATAACTTTCTTCTGTTTAATTTCTACATTTCAAAAAGTACACCATTAAACAAGCAAATCCAGTATGATGCATGGGGAATAAAAAGACAAATACTGATTGCGAGATGTTTTAAATCTGGATTAATAGAGAAAACACAAAGGTGTGTGCACCACAGTGTTTTCTCACCACTATCCACAGAATTTGTAACGTGCATTGAAAAGGAAAAAGTTGAAAAGGGTGTAAAAAAAACAGTCAAACTGCTGCTGACTCCCATTCTCACTGCTGAAAACAACCCTTCCCATGTGGATCAAATGTTATGGAAAACAGCTCCCACAAGCTGTCTTGATTTGATTCGGTCACCAACTTCTCTGTCAGTGACCATTTGCCTGATGAACTGCAACAAACTTCGAAAGTTACACTTTTGCCATTTCATAGTGCCGTCACAGGAGTGCATACCTCTGCCAAGGTCCATCAGTCTCCTTAGATTTAATCAAACTGCACCAAATTTCACACACTCAATAAAATCAGTCCAGTAAATAGACCAGATTGCTTTCAACAAGATCTCAGGATTAATCCCCACAAAGTTTGCGTGATGTAAATAACCTGATTAAAAACATCTGGATCAACCCTAAAATTTAAAGGGTAGGTTTTACCTAATCCTGCTAAAACCCCAATCCTACAATTACAATTCATTTTGAAATGTTCTTCCTGAAAACGTCCAAATACTTCAAACTCAGCGCTCTCAGTTTGTAACTCAGACTTTTTAGACTTCAAGCCCAATCTTCAATACAACAGTTTTTCCTGTGCTGAATAACACTCTGAAAACCTTCATGTGGAAGGGTGGCCTCTTAAAGCATCTGAGTGGACTAATACAGATATAGAGTGATGATGTTAAGTATGAGCCATAAACGGTTTAATGCAGAACATTATGATGTTAAAGTAACTTTGACCTTTGATGTATAAAATGAAACCGCTGCAAATTTTTATCCAATTAGACATTTCATGTTATAGCTCATTAGTGCAATAGCACCTCACCTACATTGACCTTGATCTTTGACCACACAAATCGAATCAGTTTATCATTCGTGACAAGTTTGAAATGACCTCACAAGAATACGACAGATAGACAACTTGGAAACATAATGTCTCACACAACTACTTGTTAATATGAATATATATGTGAATAAATATGTTCACTGTGATCAAAGAAAACATTTACATCAAGCAGTAGCCACTCGGACTCTGAACATTCACTGAACAGTATCAGTGAGACCGCTGAGGGGTCACATAAGTACAAAGTGATTAATGGTACAAAATTAGCATGTGGGGAAAGAAGAAATTCTTTCTTGAGATATCACTGCGTCGGACGGACAAAGTGGAGACATGCCTCTGGTCACTGGAACAGAGGCATAATAATGACAGCACTAGTTATAAAAGGAAGATAATGAGCTAACGTAGCATGAACAAGTATTTAAATAAAATATTGTAATCTTTCTTAATTTTCATATTTATGATGATAACATATGATGAGCCGTCTGTTATTTTTCTACATCCAGTATAATGCTTGAAAGAATTACCTGGACATTAGTGTGACTGTTTTCACTTCACTGCTGCACTGCATTTGTTTCACTCGATCTATGTATTTACTTCACCTATTGGCGTCATGCGTTTGTGCACAAGAAACAAACATTTGAATCTGCTGCAGGTCTGGAAAATGTAAGTGTGTAAAAACCAGAGCAGCCCAGTTTGCTTTAACAATAAGACTGTTACATAATCGTAGCCTCACTGTTTCATAAAGAACAAGGGAAGATGTGGGATAACATATTGTTACTTCTTGCTCTGCTGAGAAAACTAAATGAATGAAAAAGTAAGTTGACTAATTGTTTGTTCTCTCGTCTGGATATGCCTGTAATGAGCTGGGACCATTGTTTGGTAGCCGACTGTGTTTGGTCACAGGAGGCGTGATACCATGGGAATGCCTGTCTGCTCACACTGTACCAGCTTCTCACTGTGGACTGAATTATTCACAGCACAGATGGAGCGGGATCCTGCTCCGCACCTTTCAACAGGCTCAGACAGGGAGAGGAAGACTGAATCACAGAAACCCACAGAGACTCTGTCTTTACATTGGTCTTCCTGACATCACACCACAATGTATGAATATATGCGTTTGAATTATTCTATAAGCAAAATGTGTATCTAGTATACATCCCTCCTCCATCACCAAACCCTGTATTTACTCGTGTTGCTACAGGATATTGTGGTGCTGTAACTCAGTGTAGAGCATCTATCATCATTTCTCTTTTTGCTGTTCAACATACAAAAAATCAACTCTGCTGCATTTAAACACTGAGAATAGGTCTTAGATAACATGTGTGTGTATGGACGACATGGCAGCTCCCAAAAGTGAAGCCAAAGTATCTCGATCGCCACCTGGTGGCTGGCTGCAGTATAGGTCATATACCCCACCTCCTCTGTGTTAGTGTATAAGACATGGACCAAACAAAATAAGTCAAATGAATATTTATCAAAGAGGGTTTCTGTTATTTAAGCTGTCACGCTGATGTATGTCATTGTGCTCAGTCTTCCAGTAATTTTGGTTTTAATTTGTTATTTGCTGCTGTCATAATGAGGTGAAACATCTTGATTGACAGCTGAGACTGACTCATGATTGGTTGAGCATGTGTATCGGTAGGCCCTCACTACCGAGGCCTCATACACTAATGGCAACTGTGCAGACTCTGAATCGAAATGCGTAAGTTGGCCACGTGACAGTTACATGTCGTCCAACTTTTTATAAAGTCTAAGATGAGAATATGTTAATGATTGAAAATGTCTTGATAATGAATAAGTTCCAGTAGGAACAACAGAGTCACCGATGTGTGGACCCCAGGACAATCAGCTAACAGAGATCCCAATCAAATCAATAATTAAATTAATATGATAATGAAGATGTCACAGGAAGTTGAGGGAAATTAAAAAGGCATTCATGTCATACACATCTAAAAAGAATTTCAATATATGAAAAACTTGTGTCTGAAGTCTTCACACACCGTCTGTGTTGCTGATGAGAACCTGATATGGTTTATGATGCAACTATTCTGTGGGGGTTGTTAGGTGTTTTAGGTATTTTTCTGCTGTGTTAGGCCTGTTAGACCAAAAACATTGAATTAATCAGGTATACATAATGCGAATAAGAGGACAGACATTTAATTCTGTCGTTAAGGGGAACAGCTAAAAGATTTTGCAAGAAGATTTAGATAAAGATAAGAACCTGAACGTGTTGAATACAGGTAGATTAACGATAAGAAAAAGTCAAGTTGCAGTGGAGTTCAGATATTAAGACCGATTTATAGCAGACACTGTTTTAGAGGACTTATCAACTGGAAGCTTTACTGATCGCAAAACTAGGTCATTTCATTTTTGTACATTAACATAACAGCTTCAAAATCATTCTGATGGTTGAAAACTTATAACAGGGAGAATGGCATGTCTATGATTGCCACAGCAACCCCTGCATGCCTGGGACTGCACTAAGTAACTCTGGTGTACTGTTCTGGAACATTAACACCTGCTTTACGGCATAGCTAGCTATAACAGACTAGTTCGCCATTCTCAGCGCAGACATCTCAGCAGAGCTACCAAAGAAACTGAAGTTAGAAACAGAACAAGAGTGAATTTTGGGCAAATAAACGAGGCCAAAGAAAACAGGAGAGAAGTTGACCTGACGTAGTAATTGAAGAAGTAAATTATAACTTTTGCTTGTTTGCTTTCTCTTGTGCTGTTCTGCTTAATGATTGGTTGTGTAAGTGCAATTGTCGACTCATTAGTTCATCATTAGAAGCAGTTTAACCCATTTCTATAGAGGTTTAGCAAGTTAGCCAAACAATTTGATGTGATTTGATACGCATCATGCTCGGACCTAGTTGACTGTGCCGGCTATTTCTTTCCTGTGTTAGCTCGTAAGCTGGTATGCTACTGACCCAAGTCCACTTGGTTCTTTGTCCTCTTCTCCCTCAGCTGGTTAACAAATGCAGATGTGCACAGCTGTGTACAGGGGGAGGCTCAGGCCCTAAATTGTTTACAACAGTGAATTACACATCCCACCTGTAGGGGGAGCCCGAGTACAGCCGGAAGCAAACCTTACTTTACAGATGATTCCAGATGCGCAAGGACGAGTACAAACATCTGAATTAATGTTTGAACCTCTATATATACAGTCTATGGTTTGAACTGATTGTGCTGGTCTGTATGAATCATTATGATAAAAAAAATTAAGAACACGTCTTTGTAACTTTAACAAATAAAAACCTCTGCGACAGTTTGATTGTTCGGAGGCAGAGGATGATTTGTCTGACAGTTTTAACAATGACATCAAGAGACAGTGTCCTCCTCAGCTGTTACTCCTCTGTGCTGAGATGTCTGATGTTGGTGAGACACAGGACTACACCTCGCACAACCCCTGAAGGGATTTACAGATCATCCAGGGGGAACAAGAGGGCATAGATTGAATAAAGAACTTTTGGGCTGCTCAGCTGACCCTGTAATCATAGTTAATAATTAATAGATGATGATGATGAGCTAACAGTGAATTCCTAAAACTGTTGTGTTTAGGTTTAGAGTAAAGTAAGTATGTGAAAATACTTGTATGAATACTGTATGAGTGAAAAAATATAAATGTTCTTTGGTGTTTTCACTGCTGACAAATATTGATTCGTTCATTTCATTAATTGTTGCACGTCTCTTGTTGTCTTTGTTTAGTTTTGTTCACATGGAAACTGTCATTTTGAACGTCAAAAACCACAAACTCATCTCAGAAGCACAAAGACGCCCACACACTCCACAGGCAGCACATAAGCACTGTCATCAGCACCCACACATACACTCCTACACATGTTCAGACAGTGCTCCACAGCACAGTACCTACTGTGCACACACACACACACACACACATTCATAGAGCCTGACCATTCGGCTGGATGATCCACTGGAATAAAAACCCTCTGAATCCACTCTGGCATTTTTAGTTTCTAAAAGTCATTTTCACCCAGAGTGCCCTGACAAAGAAATACACCTCACACTGAGTCTGAAAAATTCTGTAGCAGCACCATCATGACTATCCACCTACATTCACTCACTCCTGTGACAGAACGAGAAGTAAGGTACATTATTATTACAATTACTTTGGAATTCAACAAACATACAGTCAAGTGTCGTTTATCCATTAAATATTAAAGATGACTACGTGCAATGCACTATTGTTGTAGTTACCCCTCTAATGTTCTTTAGATCACAGCATGCATTTGAATTATTTTGTGTCTATAAGGTATCAATAAATTCTTACTGAAAATAATATAAGGAAAAAACAACAACATAAACTACGTTTCAACATAACCTGCAAAAAAGTAGGATTTTAAGTATTGTGGTAATGTTGTGAAAGGAAACTTATAAAACATGGGAAACTGTTGATATTGAGTAATTAAAAACTATTACTATCTAATATGTATGTGAATACGAGGGCTTTCTCTTTCTTAAACTGCATATGTTGTTTTTTTTCTGGAGAACTAAACATCTCCTGTATGTAAGGTTTGAAAATGAAAAAAACTAAAATTACTAAACAGTGTAACTTTGGGGTCCAATATAAAATAATCTGTCAATCAAAACCTTCAGTTAGATCAGATTATACATCCAGTTTTTAGCAACTCTGAATCTGCACAGAGTTCGACTGATTCAGCTGTTAACCAATAAAATCGCTCAACATTATTTTTGTCTATATGAAAACTTTAATTGAAGTTTTTTTTCAAATCAAATTAAATGGTAATTGCATATTATATCCCTAAAAAAAAGTATTTTATACATTTGTTATTCATAGTAAAGTGTGTGTGTTTTGATCTTTGTCATAAGAATTTGATAACTAGTCAAGTGGGTAGTTTGGAGCAGATACAATATGGTGAGAAGGTTAGTAAATACCTTGAATTTATAGTAATATGCTATACATTTATTTTATTCAACTCATCTTTGTAACTTAATCGAGCACAAATGATTTATTTTAAGGCATTTAAATAGCAATTTAGCCATACTGGGCACAGTGATGACAAGATAATTATACAGAAAAAGACTTTCATTGTAATAAGTGTCTTATACTTGATTTGACTTGTGAGAATGTGTCTCTGATGTTTCTTCAAACATTTTAATGTCATCGACAATTGAAACAGGAAACAAAGAACAGAAGCGATGAGCTCACAGAACAACAGGAGACTGAAACAAACAACAGCAGAACAAGGACGAGTTTTAACGTTGACAGTAAAACGGTGACACGTGCTGAAGGGGAGGGTGGAGCGGGGGCAGAGCTGTGATCCGCCCTACCTTTTCTGACGCAGATCAGCTCATGCACTCCACAGTTACGCTCGCCACCTGGAAAGACAATGCAGTTTCAATGAGCCACGCTGTGATGGAGGGAAGGACACACAACACAAACACATGGAAACACATTTAAACATGTTTGTACATTTTGACAGATTTCCAGCAGAAGACAACAGACAGAGGACACTGACAGAGACTCAGTGATGACAGTGTGATGTGGGTGTTCAGAGTTTAGTTTAGTTTAATTTTCTTCTCTTGAGCTTCAGCAAGGATCTTACGAACACAGAGTAAAAGCTGTTTATCTGCTCGTGCTGGAAAACAAACCTCGGTTGTGTCGTTTTCCAAATATTGACGGATGAGAAGTTAATGATATATGCGAAAGACTTGGATGCACATACATGAGTTAATGTTACTGCCTGTCTCAGCTTGTTCAGGTGGAGTAAATATCAACCGTATATGTAAAGATGAATCTCCACTTCCTCCCACTGTTCAAAATGAAACCGAAATATGTAGGACATAGGATGGTGGATGCCACCATCTTGAACTGGAGATCATGGTGATCATGGAGAAGAGGCAGTCTCATCCAGTTAGAATCAAATAACAAATTAAAACTTATCAGCTCTCCCACTTCAACACACATCAGTGTGATAAGACCTTACTAAATTTGTTCTGTTCGGCCCATAGCCATCAAAATATTTTATCTTCACTTAATAGTCATTGAGGTTTTCATAACCTCCTTCTATCTTCTCAGTTCTCACACCTTTCCACTTCCTCTCTTCAGCTCAACTTTAATATTTTTACATTATTCTAGTTTTACAACATCCTCACATGTCATCTGGTTCGCTTACATAAAAGGAAAAGCAGCATGTGAGGGTGGTATTCAAATCTTAAATCATGGCAACCTGAATGCTCCCCTGTATCACTGTTTCACTTCATGATTACATAAGAGAACAAACACAAGAATAGTCTCATGAATCGAGTTAAACAGGACCATGCTGATTTTTTATTAGTCCTGTTTTGAATTATATTGCAGATAAGACCTCAGTGACTCAATGATTTAAGATACATACAATACATAACGCTGTTGGACTGAGATAATTCATCCCAAGTGTGTTTCTAGTGAGAAAGCAGTTGTCTTAGTAAAACTATGCAGTGAGATACATTTGTACAAACCACGTGAGGCCCATTTACAGTCTGTAATGGCCCCTGTAAATATGAGAACAAAGTATTCTGTCTCACCGGAAGAAAACCTGGGAAGAAAAAGCTTCAGCGGTGTTTATTGTAACATATTTTACAGTCTCTCTGTACTGGCCATAGCTAACAGCCTTCTCTACAACTGAATAGGTCTCAAATCAGCTTGACAGTAGGGTTTAAACCCGGATATTAACTTTGAGGATGTTTTCACACCTGAAAGTCTGAACCAACCAATATCATGGTATTACTACCAGCATCACTAACTTCAGCTTCATACCTCTGGCTTTTGTCTGCAATGGGTATGTTCAGTATTCACTCCCAGGTCAAATTACTTTGCAGAAGACACAGGTATTTATTGGCTCCAGCTCCGATCAGTAGCGATGAGAATGAACGCACTAATCTGACGAGACAGTGAAGTGAGAGGGCGCCTCAATATTCGGCACTTGTGACATCAAACACGATGCATGAAGAGGTGAGCTTCTCTTCTGGCAATGGGAAAGGAGTTAACTGCATTTTTAACAGGATTATCCAAGGTAAAAACCTGCGTATACCTGCTAATTTTAGTTTGCATGTTACTCAACACCATGACTCTGAACCTCATGTTCATTCTACATTGGAATTCCATGGCATTCTATGCAGTAGTTGTTGGATAGAAGAGGTGAACTGAGCAACTTCGCCATCAACATTTAACCGGCAGCTACAGAGAAACCTCTTCTTTCTCAGGTAAAAGCAACAGAACCGTGTTCATTGTGGAGATTTCTACCAGCGCGTCTTCACTCAGGTCCTCTGTCACTGTATGTTATCATTCTCCGTCAGCTCAGTGGGCTGCACCCAATGGGTGGCAGCTGCTTGGGTGTGTGTCCAGCAGAGCATTGTGGGGCACAGTAGATACTGAGACACTATTACTCAGACACATCCAGGCCTGTAAAGACAGTGCTCAGTGTGGCTGCTCCTCAGCAGACAGGCCTCCAGACTGACTGTAATTCAGCTTTGTTACTCACACATGTGACGGCCTCTCAGGCTCTGAGCTCTGCCGCAGCCTCTGGGATGCATCCACAGGTTGAGCTTTGTAACAGCTCTGCTGCCTCCAGCTGTGACACCTGTAACATTATGTGCTGCACGTACTGAGACAACAGTGGAACAAATGCCGTCACTGTGGTCGTTCTGACAGCTGACCTTTATCTCGTACCTCGTTTTTCATACACATGTAATTCCTGTTCAGGCAGACTCAAAAGCAAAGCTCCACATCACGTACAATATTAGAAATAAAATGTTTTACCAAACCTTACACACCGAGTGGAGAAAACATTTGTATTTAAAGATATGAACCAATGTTCCCTCCTTTTGTCATCCTATATGGATTAGGTCATCAGTCTGTGAAAGGTCACATGTCTATTTAAAAATGTAGCTCAGATTTGATACAGTTTCTTTGTTAAGAGTAGAGCTCAGTCTGACCTTCTCAGTACAGACAGAAACTTAAGAACTAGAACTGAAACAATTAGCCAGAACATTTACATCAAATTCGTCTAAAACAATTTAAATGTAATGTCAAAAAAATCGAAAACAGAACTACTGGTTGTAGTTTGTCAAATTTAAATATTTGCTGGTTTTCTTCATCTGTGATATACAGAATATTTTGGGTTTGTTCATAGTTGGTTGGACAAAACAAGCAATTTTACTACGTAAACTTTGGGACTGAGAACATTATTTAAGACAACAGAAATATATTAATTCAGAAAATATTCTACACAATGGAATGATTTAAAAGAAAACAACTGAGCGAATTCTAATGGGACTTAGCAAAGTCCTGATCTGCGCTTTTAGTCTTTCCAATATGTTTTTTTATTGATCATCTCAGGATTTTATCTGGGTGAAATCAGAATGTTAGTTAAAAACTCTTGGGTCTCATGCAACAGAGTGAGGATAATTTTCATAAAGTCATATCACATCTACATTTACGCACAACTTGAATGTAGAGTAAAAGTTTGACTTTAATCTGCTTGTTTTGTAGCAGGTAAACAAAGATCAAACACAAATACCAAACATTTACAAGCTACAACCAAGCTTGTTTCTGCCTTATATGATAATGAATGGAATATAAAGTGGTTTAGAAAATAAAAACATGTTTCCTTATAGATAATAGATTGTTGATCACAGCCCTAATTGTCACCAAGGGCCACAGCTAATGTTTTCATCTGGTTACTTAGTGTCGCAGGATACCTGTCAAAGGATATCAAACATTGATCTAAACACACACCTCACTGAGACTGAGATTGTGTGTGTGTGTGAAAACACACTGTCTGAGAGTGTTTTCTTCCAAACCAGGAGCTGAGAGCTGTTGCCCAGCAGATCGATACAGCAGCTGCGTGTGGGAGGAAACTCCCAGTGGGTTTTCACTCCTCTTTCACTCAGCACACTTGACAAAAATAACATTCTTTATTTTCTGCATGTGCTCTTTAATAACACAAGAGCGCATGGAAACATGCACACTTACAGATTCAGAGCTGGTAGCTCATGTCAAACATACAAGCTACAAAACTACACTCTGGAATATAGTGCAAATAAAAAAGAAATCTGAAACCAAAGCTCATGATATTACATACCACTCTATTTTTAATCATAGTCACGATGTGCTACACAAAACATGCAGCATTTGATTCACTAATGTCTCACCTTAATAACTGCCAGGTTATAATCATTAACAGACAATGTGCAGTAAGTTTCTCCACATTATATTCAACTAGACTGTGGCCCCTTCCAAACATCAATAAAGGTCAAGGAAATGCACCCATCCTTTCTAAACGATTCCTAAACTTTTTGTCAAGGTTTCCGAGGCTTTTTCGGTGACTTGAATTATCAGTGAACCTTCGCTGCAACAACATAAGCAAGAAAAGATGAACCCCTTAAAAACACAGTCAGACATTTTCTACAACCTCAATACTGAAAAACTTGATGTTATTCATAGACCTGCGATGAGTCTCACATGATTTCTACAGATAAATCGATTGTTAGTTGCTGCAATGTTCATGACTTTATAGAGTCTGAAGCCTGATCAGTCAGTAAACTGTGCTGCTTTCAGCTTCAGGAGGAAAACGGACACCAGCCTCCAATAATCCACCTCATTTTCAAACCGAACTGATAAAAGAAATATATATTTATAACGTATGTTATAAATATAAATATTTTTTATATAACGTATGTGAGATCACTCAGACTGAGGTGCCGGAGTTTATCTAGCCCATGTCCATATAAGCCAATGTGAAAAAACAGCAGGATTATGCCAAGTGAATTTGATGAGTGAGTTGATGACATTTCTCAAACGCGAATGAAAAACAAAAAGAAAATGAATCCAAATATCTCAGGATGAAAAAGAGGAGCATACATGTAGAGGACAAAGTCAAGATGGAAAGTCAACGAGATCCTTCAGAGAAGGTTGTTGCTGGTGTTAATGTGCTGCAAACAAATACGTGAATTCAGCAGCTGCATATTTATTTAATATGTCATGCTCTACCTTGGAGCAGGCCCTCCTATCAGCACTCCGGAGATTTTCCTGTTGTGAATGCAATTGACTAGAGAATCTCCAGCTGCATTCTTCAAATTTGAAAGGCAAAATGTCCAAACCCAATTGTGCGGACTTTCTCCAGAGTTTGTGTAAAAATGGTGAATGATAATCAGCATGCATTTCCATGTTACCTGCGCTTCAATTCTTCCAACATTTAAACGATACCTGTAACAGCACTCACAGCGTCATGTAAAGTGTCAATACTGAAAAGACAGTACAGGCTCTTCGAACCTCATCAGTACATGTAGCAGGTCATGTGACCCCCTCGAGTCAGAATTGATCACCAGTTGAGATC